TTTAAATGTCAAGGGAATAACTGTTAGGGGAGAGGTCTGAAGGTCGGTACACCTTTTGTTTTTAATCTGCCATTTCGACATTCACTTATGAAACTTCACGCATTTGGTACTAATCGAAAGTTTAGTCTATTAGTTTTTTTTTCCCCTAGGGAAAACTAAAAAATATATTTTTTTAAAAGTGTCAAAAAACGACATTTTGAAAAGGAGGCCTGTTACACCAAAAGTACTCCCAACTTTTAAAAATAATTTATTTATGTTAATTTAATCAATTTTAGTTCGTCTTAAATTATTTCCCATCCATTTTTTACATTAACTTTTCCCCTAATATCAAAGAAATGTACTAGGTAGAAAGCGACCTCTGTCGGGCTATGGTCTTTTTGTATGAAAAAGGGTGTCTCAACTTATACGCTCAAAATGGGATGTTTCAGGAAAAAATTAATAACTTTTTTTCTGACTGTCACATTAAGCTGATTCTTTTTTTTAATTTGTTAACAATTAAATTACTAATGTTTTAAATCTCTTACCAAGTTATTTTAAGCACGTTAATAATTTTTAATGGAATTTTGAAAAAAGTGGACCAACACTTTTTTGGTGAAAAATGGTACACGACTCTCACAGCTTAAATCTGGCTAGAGCCTGTATTATAATGTTTCCCCCAAAAGTTTTGTCACTAAAAAGAACTACAAAAAAAAAAAAAAACAATTTTTTTTAGTGGAAAAGTTTTGAGAAAATTGACTGTCTCAACTTACAGACCGTCCCAACCTACAGACCTCTCCCCTATACATAAAAATCAACATATAACAGTTATTTATAAATTTATAAAAAATAAAAATCAGTACGTTATACTTAGCATGATTTTTTTAATTATTTAATTTTTATTTTAATGTCAAGGAAATAACTGTTATACATAAAAATCAACAAATAACAGTTATTTTTTAATTTTATTATAAAATCAAATAAATAAAAATCATTACGGATTTTTACCTACAATAGCTAAACAAAATAATGGTGTATTTAAAAAAATTTTAGGACTCTTCTTAGCAACTCGACTGGCTGTGGCCACACTAACACCAAAATAAAATCGCCTACAGTTATAAGCAGAGCATGCAAATAATCAAAAAAATAATAGAAACAACATTGTAACTTTGTAAAAAGTAGTCGTTTTGATTTTTAACAATTTAAAAAACATTTTAAGTAGGCATACCAGCAAGGGTATATAAACTTCGGCTCTCCGAAGTTAACTTCCTGTCTTGTTAAAATTAAAATCAGAGTATAACTGTTGCATTTTTTTTTATTTTAAAAGTTATAACTGTTACGGATAATTATTTAAAATAAAGGATTATAATCGTAATTTGACGGTCCCTACTTACTGCGGCCGCACCATATTTAGCCATACGCAACTTGGCTTATCTTGAAGATCAACACACCGACAATTATAAGCTCGGAGCTAGCTAGAGCCATTGAATTTACTACACCCGGAGATAAACATTTTTAATCAAAAGGTAATTTTTCAAATTTGACATTTTTAGATAAACTTTAAAAAATTTTAAATACAAATACTTTTCTTCGGTTAAATACTGAAACACGTGTTATCTTTTTTGCCGAATACTATATGCAAAAAATTTTCAGGCAAATCAAAGATGTGACCCATACGTAAGTAAAAAGCTGAAATGTTTTATTATGTTAAGCAAAAATATTAAACCGTTAAGTCTATATCAAATAGGTTGCATATAAAGCCAATCTTTGTAAACCTTTAATGAATACGTAGGGGAGTGTAGGGTAATTTGACGAGTAGGGTAATGTGACGAACTCGTCGAATCTCATATATGACGTCACGACAAAAATTCCAAATAAATGTAGTCGTCTCCTCTTATCGTGTCGACAATGTATTTACTGTAATATTAATAAGAAGTCCCGTAATTTTTTCGTAAGGTAATTTTTGCTAAAAATGTGGTGCGCAAACTAGCAAACCCATTCAATTTACTTGTGTTTCAGCAGTGCCAGAGCAAAGATGAGTGGAAAATAAAATCAGGCAAATATAAGCACGTATACATGAGATCTTTATCAACAGTTTTTGGCACCTCGCGTTTTTTTTATTAGCTTGTAGGGTATCGGGACGAACTTTTTGTAGGGTATTGTGACAAACTTTTTTTATTCAAGAATTTTAACTGTTATCGTTGATTATTTGTAAAAAAAACAAGAGAGAACGCTATAGTCGGGTTGGTGTCCCGACTATCTAATACCCGTCACTCAGCTAAAGGAAGTGCGAACGCGGGTTGGTGTCCCGACTAATAATCTAACTCAGCTAAAGGGAGTGCGAGGGAGATAGATATATGTAGATATTTTGATTGCGTATAACTTTTTAATGCATGGTCCGATTTGAAAAATGTCTTCTACATTTCGATAGGTATAAATATACACAACAAAATTGCATTTATACTTCTCGAAAAGCTTTAAAGATGTGGGCGCAGGACCCATTTTAAAATCGTTAGTGGGCGATTGTGGGCGTTAGAGGGGGCGTGGCGCTCGGCTAAAATAAACTTGCGCTGCGTAGGAAGCCAAAGAATATGTGTGGAAAATCTCAACCTTCTAGCTTTTGTAGTTTCTGAGATCTCAGCGTTCATACAGACGGACAGACGGACATGGCTAGATCGACTCGGCTAGTGCCCCTGATCAAGAATATATATACTTTATGGGGTCGGAAACGCTTCCTTCTAGCTGTTACATACTTTTGCACGAATCTAATATACCCTTTTACTCTACGAGTAACGGGTATCTAATACGAATCTAATATACCCTTTTACTCTACGAGTAACGGGTATAAATATAATAATACCAGATAACATTTACTGCTGCAGTTTTATTGTTGTTTTTAATAGTGACGCCAGTTTAATCAAATAAAAACACCTCTTAACGAGGTAAAAAACTAGTGACGATCGCACCTTTAACATACAAAAGTTCTGATATCAACATTTGTGACGAAAAATTATTACACTCGTCATTAAATAGACTTTCTAATATTTTCTCATTCGGCCCGCCCTAGCAAACTATTCCAGTCTTTTTCCCTTCACAGGCATTTTCTATTGCAGCGTGCCGAATGAGAAAATATTAGAAAGTCTATTTAATGACGAGTGTAATAATTTTTCGTCACAAATGTTGATATCAGAACTTTTGTATGTTAAAGGTGCGATCGTCACTAGTTTTTTACCTCGTTAAGAGGTGTTTTTATTTGATATCAGAAGTTTTTGTTTGTTTACATTTGCTCTCATAGGAGCTAATATATACATACATTTAAATTTAAATTGGTCAATCATAATTTGTAAGCCATTGTATTTAAACAAATTAAGTTAAAAAGGCGTTTAAGTATTTCAAAATACCTTTTAAACGATGTATAGCACATGTCGGTACCTTTAGTAGTGTAGAACTTACAAACTAACGAAATTTAGCTATTTTTAGCTTTTTCCCGCTAAAGTAGCGGCTTTTTCCAAAAGTCGTAAAACAAAAGATTCCTATATGGAACTCTTAAGTGCAAATTTACTGATTCCATGACCCTAAAATACAGTTCGGATACCCTCCCACAAAATTCAATACTCAGGGAGCGTTAATTGTTCGAGCTGGCAAAAGTAGGCATTTTCGAATAAAAATAACTTTTAAACGTGACTTTTTACAGTAATGTGTTATATAGCAAAATTTAAGGAATCTCAAGGGCTATACAGTTTAAGGTTTTAAAGAAAATCGTTAGAGCAGTTTTTGAGAAAAATAAAAAAAGCTAAAAAAAAAGTTTTAAAAAATTGTCTTCTGTTCATTTTTTTTTAAGTATTACATTTACACAAATTGCATATAGAAGGCGTTTATAGCATTTAAAAATACCTTTCAAACGAGATGCAGCTTTAGTAGTATAGAAGTTACGGCTTTCCGAATTTTAGCTACTTATAGCTGTTTTCCCGCTAAACTAGCGAGTTTTTCCAAAAGTGGTAGAACAAAAGTTTTTTATATCGATGTGATCAACGTCATATCATATTTTCAAAACTTAAAAAACATGTTTTGGACAAACTGACAAACTGACAAACAGAATTAAATTTTCATTTTGGGAAGACGAAGAAAATCTTATTTTGGCTATAACTTTTGAATGGAGCGTCGGAATGACCCCTCATTCGACGGGTATTTTCAAAAGGAATACAATTAAAACATTGCGAGGGGGCATTTATCCCCACCGGCCCCAACAGCTCCAAATTTCGAAATTTTCACTTTTTTACTTTCACCGCTCTCTCTCCCAAGCCAATTGATTTTCTTAGAGTCTTGGTATGCAATCCTCTTAGTTTTTTCAATACCTTTCGATATGTGTATCATTCATTATGATCGGACCATCACAGTAGATTTTCATTTCTTCGTGTATATATAGTAGTCGCCTTCGCACACTCTCCCGGTGCGCTTTGTCACTACATGGACTGCCGTCCATAGTGATTTAATTTTAAAAAAATTTGCACTTTGACCATTTTTTTTTTTGTAAGTTTGGGTATTATCCTATTACTTCTTTCTTTTCCGTATCGAAAATAACCTTTCCGTAAATAATATATAAAAAAATTTATTTTTTTGTTTGTAAAAAGGATGGTTTACACCAAACGCTGTGGGATTTGGCTACGTTGAAATTTCGAATCCAAATTTTTTTTAGAAATATGATCAGTAAATGTAAGTAACTTTCTGCTTTTACACTTTTAAAAAATATTGATTTTTGGAGAAGTTACATTAAAGAACAAATCGTTCGTCACATTACCCTACAACTTTTGAAAGTGCAAAAAAAGAAGGGTTCACGCCAAACGCTGTGGGATTTAGCTGCATTGGAATTTCGAATTTTGAATTTTACAGGGATATGCTCAGTAGATGTAAGCAACTTTCTGCGTTTACACTTTTGAAAAATATTGATTTTTAGAAAAGTTACATTCAAAAAACGAATCGTTCGTCACCTTACCCTACACTCCCCTATTTATATAGCTATTTACCTCATAGTAAGCAAGGAATCCTGCGGCCCGAGTGAATTCTCCAGCTTGGCCGGGCCCGGATGACTTGGCATTTAATCCATTGTTGCTGGCATTTTCTAAAGTAAAGGATTGGCCGTATAGCGGCATACCCAATACGATTTTGCGTGATGGTGCTCCCTTTTCGATCCAATAGTGTACGGAAAAGTTCTGCAAGTAGAAAAAATAAATGAAGCATAGTTTTCTGAAGACCTATTTTGTATAATTACCGCGTTAAAATATTCTAAATCATCGTCGGGATGTTGGTACAGAGGGGCTACATGTCCAGTTTTTTTATCCCATTGCCCGTGGAAGTCATATGTCATCACAGCGATCCAATCAAATAAGTGAGACAGCTGGGAAACGTCATATCCGGCATCTATGATTTTTTTGCTAGGAGAGACTGCAGTAGATAACAAAAGTCCACGGGGTCGAAACGCCTCAGAAAGCTCCCGAACCCAAGCGGTAAAGCCTTCCTTCTCCTCAGTGAACCCTTTACTGCATTCTGTTTGCCAGCACACTGGATACTCCCAATCTAGGTCAAGACCCTCAAATCCGTATTTTTTTATGAACTCGAGGGCATGGCGGACAAAGCGAGCCCGTGCTGATGGACTTCGTACTAAGCGACTGTACTTATCACCTTGCGAATCGTTCCATCCACCGAGCGCCAAGCTTACCTTGATGCCCTTGCTTTTTAGACTACTGACCCTCGTGTAGAAATTGTTGTCAATGTCGGCCCAGGAATCATGGGTTCGCAGAATGAGTTCGGAATAGTCCAGCACTGCGAACCCATAAACTACGTGAGTGCACATGTCCGTGTTAATGTCGTCTGGAGTGTAGCGACCTATGCCCTTTCGATACCAGGCCCAGTTGGTAAAATAGCACACAACTTTGTAATAGCCATCAAAGGGCTTGAGTACTGGTTTTTCTGTGGGATAGGTGGGACGCAAAAGGCTGTTAGGGATTTGGGTAGTGGTTGCTGGTTTGGCTAGCGCCGGAGGCTTTGCAGTTGCACTCGGCTCTGATCCTCCGTTGCCATTACCACCATCCTGATTGCACTTGGCTTCTGCTGGCCAGTCGCAGTTAGCAATTGTCTCACTGTAGTGCAGTCCCGGCGGGCAGTCAGCAGCCTGAAGGCGGTTCCATAAGCAGAAAAGATACTTAGAACAATCAGCTGGATAGGGTACTCGCTCTTCGCCGTTGCAAGGATCTTCCGCGTTAACACTACTCGCTCGAATAATTTTCAAGTATTTCTTACTTGTCACACACTGTACGTTCTCTGGCCAGTCGCAGGTTTTACGAATTGCGTCCCAGTGTAACTCTCCTCCACACTCACTAGGTACTAAGGCTGCATTTACGCAAATGTAATACTTGCCGCAAGATCTGTGGGTGTAGTACTCCCCCTCCTTGCAACTGCCAGATGAAAGTGGTCGTACGGTCGTTTTTCTAATGGGTTTTAAAGTTGTTGTGGTCTTCTTTGGCTTCTTAGACGTTGCTCCTGGTTTTGGGCGATCATTACTCGATTCCTCTTTACTTTTTACTGAGCACTGAGCAGACGACGGCCAGTCGCATCCCTTGGCCTGGTTGTTCCAGTGAAGACCGCCGGGACAGAATTGCTGCCGCAACTCCCCAGCAATAATGCAGTGATAATAAGCGTTACAATTTTTTAAGTCGGGGTAAAAATCGCCACTCTTACAATACGAAGCCTGCACCACCGGGTAGATTACTGCAGGCACGGGGATCGTGGTCAAAATTGGTCTGGTGGTGGTCCTTGTCGGCTTGATTGGACGTCCTGTTGTCGAGATCCACCAGGAGGTGCTGGCAGTGGTAGTACTCTTTTGTCTTTTAGTTGTGGTTGTTTTTGGTTTTCTCGTAGTGCTGATGGTGGGACTAGTGCTAGGCTCCCAACTCAGCCCGGAAGTAGTATGATCGTGATTCTGTCCCGATCCCGCAGAGCCATCGCTACTGATCGTTGTCATTTGGGGTGGCACGGGTGTGATCACCGACGGCGGACGCTCACAGTTCTTTAAAGTAGGCGGCTCCGAATCTAAGCGTCCCAATGCCCGGTTAATGGCCCTCAGTAGGGGATAAGACTCGCTGCAACACGCATTTCGAAAATCGTCAAGGTCAACGGTCCAGGCTGCCACTCCTGCAAAATTGTTCTTGGCCGCATATCGAGCTTTGGCTTCGACACTGGTCGTGTCTTCGTAACCTACCCACTGGTCGTTCAGCATGGCAAACGGACCGGATCTCCGGTTTGCATCCCGATCACTCATCCACCTGGACTCTGTTATGCGCTTGCAGATTTCGTAGTAAGCAAGCATGCCCGGCTGCTTTGTCAAGTCTCCAGCTTTTCCAGGTCCAGTGGCTGGAGTGCCTGGTCCTGCCAGCTTCTTGTGACTACGTTCTAATGTGAAACTCTGCCCATAAAATGGAATGCTCAACACAAGTTTTTCTCTCCGCGCTCCCATTTTTAACAGTAGTTGCATGGTGTAGTCAGTATTGTACTGGGGATACTTGTCCGATAATGAGCCATAAAGCGGACTCACATGACCCGTTTGACGCTCCCAGGCGCCATGGTAGTCATAGGTCATAACTGTCATATAGTCCACTATTTCTGATAATGCAGAAAACTCATAGGCTTCTTTTATAATCTCTTCATAGCCGGAGATTGCCACTCCTACCTGAAATTTTGGATTAATACGCTGAAACTCGGTACGCAATTCACGAAGAAGTTTGGTCAAGTTGGGCCTGTCGGATAAAGGTCCCTTTGAGCAGTCACTCTGCCAACACTTTGGGTAGTTCCAGTCCAGGTGCAGGCCACTGAATCCATGACGCTGTAGAAAGCTAGCCGCACTTGACGCGAATACCTGTCGCTTGATATTATCGCTGGCCAGGCGAGAATACTTGGAGCCAGTAGAATCTGTCCAGCCACCTAAAGCGATTAAAACCGGAACTCCCAGGGATGTCACCCGGCGATAGTATTGGTTATCCAAATCCACCCAGGGATCGAACTCTCGAATGGTGAGGTGATCGGGGTCCAGGGATGCGAACGAATAGATAATAGCAGAGCAGAGCTTATAGTCTATCTGCTCCGGTACAAAATGACCATCTCCAGTTCGGTAAAATGCCCAGTTTGACATATAACATAGAACTTTCGTAGCCACATTAAAGTCCTTCCTCTTAATTGGTGCCAGAGCTCCGTATGGTTGATTCTGCACACCTTCTTGCTTATATGCTTTGTTAAACTGCTTATCGGCATAACGGTCTAGTTCATCGATGTGCTCCAGTTGCTCGATATTGACAGTTTTGAGCAAGTGTTGATGCGGTGATCCCGCACGGTATGGCTTTGGATAAAAGTCGTCTGAGTTTGCTTGAGTAATGAAAGCAGCATATTTATCGGAAATTATAAAAGCATCTGGATCTATCAGATCTGTTTGCTTGCCACTATTATTGTTTGACCCCAAATCAGTATTTCTGATAAAGCTGTCCACATTTGTGATTGAATTTACGATCTTCTCTTCGTCTTTGGGTGCTGATTCTACGGAATCACGCACAAAGGAACGTATGCCAGAAGACTGCACTAGCGTTGCCAAGTTTCTTTGATTTACAGTGGGAACATCCTCCACGGCACTGCGCAGTGGCAGAAATACGTCTCCAAACTCGGTTCGTGTTTCGGAACGAAAAACGGTCTCGGAGTAATTATACACTGTCATACTCTCTACCGCAGAACGAACGAATTCCGGCTTAAACTTAGAATCCACATGCTCCTCATTTGCCTGAATGCGAATGTGAGCCTCAATCGCTCCTATCACAATAATCATGGAAAAGAGCGCCTGTTACAAGGAGGGATAAATAAACCAATTGTAATTGAAAAGTTTTTTTTTTGGGTTCTAGGAGTTGTAGGAGTTACCTGGAGTATACATGTCGCATCATGCCGCATTTTGTTATCAGTAATTAACCTGTTGAGATACAAAATAAATTAATTACATTCAATGAGAAACTTAAGACCATCTTAACATATTTACACTGTAGTAATAAAAATATTTACATTGCTCAAACATTGTTTAAACGAGTGACTGTTCTTATTCTTCGATTTTTTCTTTTTGATGATAAGCCATTTTATACTCGTTACTCGTAGAATAAAATAGCGCAAGGAAGAACGCTTTAGTCGAGTACCTCGACTATAAGATACCCGTTACTCAGCTGACCAGCCTTAAAACAAGAATTAACGCAGTGGTACAACTGTACATACAAACATATATATACCCAGTTCATGTTTGTAGGTGTGGCAAAAAAAGAGGGCACTGCCGTATCTTAGAGAACAGTAATTATCTGGCAAAGAACAAAACGGATTATATGACAGCTGAGATAAGATTTGGAAACGGATTTACGACTAGCGGCTGGAATTTTCGCTGAAAGCTGGGGGTTAGAATCGAAATTCCGCCTCTCAGAATCAGCGACAGTTTTTCAGGCTGAGGTACTTGCTATTTTAGAAGCAGCCAAGCTTTCGATTCAGCAATGCCTCAGGAATACCAAGGTGAGGATATACTTTGATAGCCAAGCGGCTATCAAATCTCTCGCAGCAGCTAGAACCAACTCGACACTAGTAACCGATTGTAAGTCGGCTCCTAACATACTAGCAACAAACAACCATGTACAGATAACATGGGTGCCAGGGCACAATGATATACCAGGAAACGAAAAGGCGGATAAATTGCACGAATGGGGTCGGCAGACGACTTCTATACAACTAGTCTACCTGAATCCCTAAATACAGTCCAAGCAAGGATTCACGAACACTACAAAACAGAAGCTAGTAAAAATTGGTCGGAAAAGCAGGGTCTCAGGAGATCAAAGCTTTGCTGGCCAACCGTCAATAGCAAAAGAACTCGAGAGCTAATAACCAAAAGTAAAAGGGATGTTAGAAGGATCACGGCACAGGCCATTGGGCCATTGGCACGCAAGCCATGAAGATGGGGCTTCCGTACAACGCTAATTTCAGAAGCTGCAAAGAAACAGACACACAGGAGACACATGAGCACATGATGTGTCCCCACCGGGAAAATTCCTCTGGAAAATAACATATTTTCATGAGGTTTCTCCATACAAGCGGAAGGGACAAAACCTCATTCACCCCTTACATTTGTTCTATCTCTGGTTTCAAAATACACGGAGGTGACACAAAAAGTAAGGGGGAAATGAGATTTCTATCTGGATCTCTGACAGTAGAATGCAGGCCAAAATCCACTGGTTTTTCGACTTCCCGCGTTATAGATTTTCCACACGTACTCAGTTATGTTTTTTCTCCACTTGCTACACCCTCCCAGTTTTGGTTTTTCCAGACCCTCGCAGTTTTGGTTTTGCGCTGCTTTGCAGTATCTGATTTTCCACAATAAAAATCTTTTGTTTTGTAATATTTGTTTGTGTTTTTATTAATAATATTTACAATCAAAGCATTGGAATTAAAAATTGTTAATGCCTGAAGCATTCCCGGTTTTTGCTTGGCCGAATGCAGTTTTTTGGTATCCATGTCTTGTCTGTCTTCTGAAAATATCAAAAATATTTAGATATGAATCTAAGACCAGGAATAATAATAAGAGTAATTACCATTATTACGTCTCCGCACAAAATTAAAGTATCTCTTCAGAAATTATGCCTGGTTTGCCATGGCCGATCATTTTCCCTCTGATCAGCTGTTTTCTGTCGTATATCTATATCAAAAACTATGAGAAGAAAAAATTAAATATGACAAACGCAGGCGCAACACTTCTGGTCCCAAGAAGTCTCAATCGGCCTAGCTGAAATAAATGTAATCTTTTGATTAAGTTAAACAACGAAGTACTATTCATACAACCATTTAATGAACACCGAACACCATTTACCACTGGTGAAGACTAAAAACATTTCAAGTGACACTGAAATGCCGAATTTGTGTTGAAGATAGCATCTGGAGGCTTATATTTATTAATGGCGAAAATATCTGTGATACTAACCTCTGTAACGCTGAAATAAAGATTATTAAAAGAAAAAATTCATTTTATCACTCACCTTTTTATTGTTTTTTAGATTAAAATTAACTACTTTCACTTTTTCAAACAAATTTTAAATTAATGTGACCCTGCATCATATATTTGATAAATCCAACATGCCAAAGGCAGATAAAATTTGGTCACAATTTCGGTGTTAGTTAAGGTCACACGCGAATAAATCTTGTTTTAACAATATTTTTCAGGGTCCGTAAAAGGTTACGTATATTATAGGTATATTAGGCATTTTTCGTGTTATCAAAACCACACTCAAAAAAAAAATAGCCCTAAATTTTAGAAAATCGCCATACTTTGAAAATCGCCTTGAAACTCAGAAAATATTTCTATTTTTCAGAAATATTTTTCTAAATAATAAGAAAAACTTACCCTGATTAGATCAACTCCTCTTGTTATCCACTTTTAGAAAAATTTTCTGTTATTCCGAAATTTTTCTTTCAAACTAAGAAAAAATCGCCTTACATTTTAGAAAATTGGCCCAATCGGTAACCTAGGGGTCTAGTGCGAGCGGATTATTTGTTTTCTACGTTTATATTCGGAAGCGTGTGTTCGATCCCACGTCGAGGCGGACATTTTTGGCGTTTTTTTTTTTTTTGCGCATTAATATGTATACTTTAATACAAATAAGGATTTAGGTAAATAAGACTATAAACCTAGAATCCAAACGAACAGAATGAGAATGTACTTTGTACAGCGCCTCTCGTGATGCTTCCCTGGCGCAGCTAGTAGAGTGTTTTACTGCAAACTGTGAGGTAAGGGGTTCAAGATAGTATGTTATTTGAATTTTATGATTATCATTAACAAATAATATAATAATTTCAGTTATTATTTCAGTTACATTTTAAGATTAAAAGTGTGTTTGTGTACAAGCATCGTGACGTCATCCATGTGTTTAAATAGAGGAGAGAACAATAAGTTGAGAAACGGGAACCCCAACAACAACACCCCACACCGACAGAGGGGTGGAGTCGGCATAACTCCCGATTTCCCGATTTTTTTTTTCTTCTTCTTATTCAATTTTGCCAAAACTAACCCTAAATTTAAGAAAATTTTTTCTGATTTTAGAATAATTTTTTCTAAAAGACAAGGCGAGCTGCCTTTGGCTTAAAAAGTATGGCGAATTTCTAAAATTCAGGGCGATTTTTTTTTCTGAGTGCACCAACACGAATTTTTATATTTTAACAACACTTAAAAATGGCTTAGGCCACGATCTGACAATCAAAAACAATATTAGTTTTCTTTGTAATTTAATTTAATTCCTTGATAAATGTGATCAAATATTTTAATCGTCTTACCGTGGCTTTTCTCTATAATTTTGTTAAATCCCACATTCATTCTTATTATTATTTGTAAAAATTTTGAGTAAAATAAATTAATATTATGATTATAGACATTATGGTAATAGTTATATAGTTTAATTTATTTGATTGACAATTATTAATATTTTTTCTACGAATTTTAAAAGTACTAAAAATTAAAAATTAATGTGAGAACAAGAAAGGAAGCTAGCTTCGGCCAGCCGAAGCTTATATACCCTTGCAGATAATTCCTATTAATTTACAAATCGCAAAAATGTTAATTTTCCTATTATTTCTCATTAATTTTGCGTTCGTTTCAATGGCAGCTATATGATATAGTAGTTCGATTTTGATAAAATTAAAATCGAAATTCGAAAATATTTGAAAAGAGTTATAATCAATAATAAAATAAACGAAGCAAAAATTTATTTCCTATTATATTCCTATTAATTTTCCGATCGTTCCTATGGCAGCTATATGATATAGTCGTCCGATTTTGAAAAAATTTTATTCGAAATTCAGAATTAGATAATAAATGACATTTCCAAAAGTAGGATGTTATAGGTTCAAAAACACCCAAGATATAATTTTTTTACATTTTTTTTCCCGATTGTTCCTATGAGAGCTATATAATATAGTTGTCCGATCCGGCTCGTTCCGACTTATATACTACCTGCAATAAAAAGAAGACTTTTGGGAAAGTTTTATCCCGATAGCTTGAAAACTGAGAGACTAGTTTGCGTAGAAACGGACGGACAGACGGACATGGCTAGATCGACTCGTCTAGTGATGCTGATCAAGCATATATATACTTTATGGGGTCGGAAACGTCTCCTTCACTGCGTTGCAAACTTCTGACTGAAATCATAATACCCTCTGCAAGGGTATAACAAGTCTTTTGGTTTTGGTGGATTTTTGAATATTATAAGTTGGGTCATTGCCCAGCACTAAACCATGACGGGCGAGATACTTCGGGGCGTATCAGCTGGAATCATTGGGAAAAATAGGAAAGCAGAGGATAACTGCAAGCCTAGGTTTTCTAATTGACGCAAGCTGGTACTGAAGAGAACTTCGGGACGTATCAGATGGAATCATTGGGAGAAATAGGAAAGCAGAGGATAACTGCAATCCTAGGTTTTCTAATTGACGCATGCTGGTACTGAAGAGAACGCGGACACAAAAATTTCCATTTGTGCTACATTTAAAATTAACTTTTGGATTTAAAAAATCTAAACCGCTGCTCAATAGTTAATTCTATGGCCCAAATGCTTAAGTTTTATCAAATAAAACAAGAGAGAACGCTAGAGTCGAGTACCTCGACTATTAGATACCCGTTACTCAGCTAATCAACTTAATATAAATATGCCTTCTTGTATGTTTTTCGCCGCTCGAATTAGCTACCGATTTGTATGTTAAAATCGGTACCCAAGGAACACCACGTGAAGGCCGTTGATTTGCAACGGGGTCTATCAAACCAAAATAAAATTTGGGGACCTACGAGTCGACTTGAGTTGCCAAACTTTATTCAAGTTTCGAATCTCTTATTGACTTTACTAATAACCATGTGCGAGAGCGCTCAGAGCGAAGAGAAATCCATGTTTTGATCAAAAAAACTAG